TTTTTTATCTTATCTTTGACTACACTTGTTTCCCCACTACGGCTCCTGTCCCCTATGAGGTCATTTATATGTATTCCTTCCTGCATATAATTCCCGACTACCTGGACAAAATCTCCAGCTTCACCATTACTGTCTCCCAGGACAGCACCTCCAGCTTCACCATTACTGTCTCCCAGGACAGCACCTCCAGCTTCACCATTACCAGTGCTATTTTTGGTATATGTGAAGACATGATGGAAGGGTTAGACTCAGAAGTGTCCCTGTTTGCAGATGATGTGAAGTTAATGAGGAGAATTAAATCTGATGAGGACCAGGCAGGACTTCAAAGAGACCTGGACAGACTGGACACCTGGTCCAGCAAATGGCTTCTCGAATTTAATCCTGCCAAATGCAAAGTCATGAAGATAGGGGAAGGGCACAGAAGACCACAGAGTATAGGCTAGGTGGCCAAAGACTGCAAACCTCACTCAAGGAGAAAGATCTTGGGGTGAGTATAACACCGAGCATGTCTCCGGAAGCACATATCAATCAGATAACTGCTGCAGCATATGGGCGCCTGGCAAACCTGAGAACAGCATTCCGATACCTTAGTAAGGAATCGTTCAAGACACTGTAAACACCGTGTATGTCAGGCCCATACTGGAGTATGCAGCACCTGTTTGGAACCCGCACTTGATAAAGCACGTCAAGAAACTAGAGAAAGTACAAAGGTTTGCGACAAGGTTAGTTCCAGAGCTAAGGGGAATATCCTATGAAGAAAGATTATGGGAAATCGGCCTGACGACACTGGAGGACAGGAGGGTCAGGGGAGACATGATAACGACATATAAAATACTGTGTGGAATAGACAAGGTGGACAAAGACAGGATGTTCCAGGGAGGGGACGCAGAAACAAGAGGCCACAATTGGAAGTTGAAGACACAAATGAGTCAGAGAGATATTAAGAAGTATTTCTTCAGTCATACCTGGAGTTTACCTGGAAAGAGTTCCGGGGGTCAACGCCCCCGCGGCCCGGTCTGTGACCAGGCCTCCTGGTGGATCAGAGCCTGATCAACCAGGCTGTTGCTGCTGGCTGCACGCGAACCAACGTACGAGCCACAGCCCGGCTGGTCAGTGGAATAGCCTAGAAAATGACGTAGTGGAGGCAGGAACCATACACAGTTTTAAGACGAGGTTTAATAAAGCTCATGGAGCGGGGAGAGAGAGGGCCCAGTAGCAACCGGTGAAGAGGCGGGGCCAGGAGCTAAGACTCAACCCCTGCAACCACAAATAGGTGAGTACAAATAGGTGAGTACACACACACACACACACACACACACACACACACACACACACACACACACACACACACACACACACACACACACACACACACACAACACACACAAACACTCACACACACACACACACACACACACACACACACACACACAAACACACATACACACACACACACTCACACACACACACACACACACACACAAACACTCACACACACACACACACACACTCACACACACACACACACACACACACACACACACACACACACACACACACACACACACACACACACAAACACTCATACACAAACTCACGCATTTATAGTGGGAGGTTTATGTTTTCTTTTCCTGCCCACTTGATCTGTGAGTACAGTGGCAACTAGATCATCATTGAATTTATGTGTGCCAATGGGCTCGTAATTCTTATGCCATTGGTACAACAAGAGGGTGTGGTGGTACAAGAGTGTGGTGGTGCAACAAGAGGGTGTGGTGGTACAAGAGGGTGTGGTGGTACAACAAGAGAGTGTGGTGGTACAACAAGATTTTTTGGTGGTACAAGAGGGTGTGCTGGTACAACAAGAGGGTGTGGTGGTACAAGAGGGTGTGGTGGTACAACAAGAGGGTGTAGTGGTACAAGAGGGTGTGCTGGTACAACAAGAGGGTGTAGTGGTACAAGAGGGTGTGCTGGTACAACAAGAGGGTGTAGTGGTACAAGAGGGTGTGCTGGTACAACAAGAGGGTGTAGTGGTACAACAAGAGGGTATAGTGGTACAAGAGGGTGTGGTGGTACAACAAGAGGGTGTAGTGGTACAACAAGAGGGTTTGATGGTACAAGAGTGTATGCTGGTACAACAAGAATGTGTGATGGTACAGGTGTGTGCTGGTATGACAAGTGTACACTGGTACAACAAGAGAGAGCGGCAGGTGTATGATGGTTGTCCTCCATCATAACAACTAAACCTTCAGAACTCGCCGACAATTATTTCGTAGTTTCCACCAACATGATCCATTAAGCAATTCTTCACAGCTAATCCTCGAGACGCTGATTAATAAAGTAAGCAGGAATAGCTGTATATTAATGTTATAGCGACGCAGCTCGTAATAACCTCAGAAAACACTAAAATTGTTTCTTTGCTATGTTGAAAGTTTCCATCTTGTGTTTAGACTTCTGACACTAAAATGGCTCATTTCCAATTTGTGCACACATACAGAGGTACAACAAATACAGGTAAGAGCAGTATGCCAAAGCCACTTATACTATGCATAGCATTACGGGCTGGCTTAAAATTAACTTAAGATTAACTAAGCAATGATTATTATTATTATTATAATCAAAAAGAAGCGCTAAGCCACAAGGATTATACAGCGCTGCTACTAAGCAATGATGAAATCAGTGATAAAACATTAATGTAAACAGATAACTATAAAGCACAAGTGAGTATTACAAAGACAGGTCATATGGTTGCATTCAGTTAGGTAGTGATTCTGTTAGGTAGTGTATTTAAAAAATAATAAAGTTAGATTGGGTTTTAGCTTCATTCACCACATAAATATCAAACATTGTGAAGTTTACACTCTGAAGTGTCATTAGTGGAGTGTGGAAGCAGTCATTGTGTATCATAGCAGTAATAAGGGAAAAATTATATAGTCTGCAATAATAATAATAATAATAATAACAACACCAATACGTCAGCAACTATAAATGTTATCCTTATTATCAACAATAACAACAATAAACAAGAAGCTACAAAGCAAGCACTAAAACTAACACAGCAGTAACAACACAACAACATAGTAAAATAAATAAAACCAGCTGTCATTCACCCATGAATGCTGCTGCAGTCCTCCCCCCCCCCCCCTCCTCTCTCTCTCTCTCTCTCTCTCTCTCTCTCTCTCTCTCTCTCTCCTCTCTCTCTCTCTCTCTCTCTCTCTCTCTCTCTCTCTCTCTCTCTCTCTCTCTCTCTCTCTCTCTCTCTCTCTCTCTCTCCCCCCTCCCCCTTCCCTCCCTCACCTCCTCCCTCCCCCCCTCCCTCCCTTCCCTCCCTCCCTCCCCTCCCTCCCTCCCTCCCTCCCTCCCTCCCTCCCTCCCTCCCTCCCTCCCTCCCTCCCTCCCTCCCTCCCTCCCTCCCTCCCCTCCCTCCCTCCCTTCCCTCCCTCCCTTCCCTCCCTCCCTTCCCTCCCTCCCTCCCTCCCTCCCCTCCTCCCTCCCCTCCCTCCCTCCCTCCCTCCCTCCCTCCCTCCCTCCCTCCCTCCCTCCCACCCACCCACCCACCCACCCACCCACCCACCCACCCACCCACCTCATGATCATTTACAAGAAGGATTGGGCTTAAAGCCAACTTATGCCACCTTTAAACCAGTCCAGCTTCCACTAAGCCAGCCTGTATGTCTGCAAGCTGGCATAGCCTCTAAACCAGTGTGGCTCTGCTTTTTTCCTGCTGTGAACATTCCTGTTCAGCTCAGTTCTTGTCAGGCAAGCCATATTTCAAGCCATATATGTAAAGTAAAAGGACACAAGTGCAACTAATGTGACATTTTATTGTGGCAATGTTTCGCTCTCCAGGAGCTTTATCAAGCTGTTACAAACAGTACATGGACACAGAGGGTATATAAAGGCTCAGAGTGAGGTGCAATACTAGTGGTAGTAGTAGTAATACAATATGTTAGAACAATTAACTTGCACATAAGTAAAGGATATAAAAGCTATTACTTGGGAAACATAAAAATGGTTAGACAAATATTTCTGTTGGAGGCTGGATAGAGAAGGCCTGTTTCAATGTTCATTCTCTGTAATGTGCTTGTGTAGTATTAACAGGAGAGACTATGTGATGGCAGGGTTTACTGTTTTCAGGAGGATTCTTGCTAAGACTTCAGAGATGGTGAAGCTGCCTTTGTTTTGTTTAATTGTATTAGAAACAATATATCACTGCCCTTAAGGACCTCGCCAACGACCCCAACATTGTCGTCACCACCGCCGACAAAGGAGGTGGAGTCGTCATACTCAACACCAGTGACTACAACACCAAAATGATGGACCTCTTGAATGATCAGTATACATATGAACCCATCAGCACTCAACAGTGGGAGACACTCACCAAAGATTTTCTATACAAAGCCAGACAAATACTCAAATGCACAAGAGAAGGGAAGAAACTTCTGTACTTGTTACCCAGCAACCCTAAAGCAGCACACATGTATGGTTTACCCAAGACCCATAAACATAATATTCCTCTTGGACCAGTCACGTCAGGTATAGGCAGTGCACCACACAAACTAGCCGGAGTTCTTGCCAAACATCTTTCCTGCCTTTGGGGACCATCAGCCCCTCTCATCTTAAACATTCAAGCGACCTTTTCAACCGCATCCAAAACCTCTCCATCTGTAACAAGAAACTAAGCAGTTTGGACGTGACTTCCCTCTTCACAAAAGTACCTACCACAAAAGCCATCGAGGTTCTATGACGTAAAGTCAACCAGGACCTTAATCTTCCTCTACCTCCCGGAGATTTTGTTGACTGAATTGAACTCTGTGTTAATTTCAGCTGTTTTTCTTTCAATAACAGGCTCTACAAACAAACCTACGGCATGGGAATGGGGTCCTCCATCAGTGCCGTCCTAGCCAACTTGTACATGGAATACCTAGAGTTCGAACACTTCACCAACTTCATCCCTTCAAGCGTCACTTGGTTACGTTATGTGGACGATGTCCTCGTAATAACTCCCAAACATTCTGATGTACGGAATCGACAGGCAAGGCTCAACGCAGTTGAACCAGCAATCCAGTTTACACTAGAAGAAGAATCCAATGACAAGCTACCTTTCCTCGATGTCCTCATTCACAAAGTAGACAACAGCCTTGATTTCAAGTTTATCGGAAACCTACCAATAAAAATGATCTCACACACTTCTATTCCAGTCAAGATACTAAGACCAAAAGAGGCATCATCATCGGGTTTTTTCTAAGAGCATACCGAATTTGTAGTCCTGAGCTTCTTGACGAAAAATGTACATACATTCACCGAACCTTCACAGATTTACATTTTCCTTCCTTTTTCATCAAAGACTGCAAGAAAAGAGCCCTTCAGATCATTAATTCTCCACGCACCAACACCACTCCCAACAAAGTTATAATTCTTCCCAACAGCCAGGTTGCACTGAACGTTTCTAAAGTACTTTCACAAGCTAACACCAGAGTCGCCATTGCTTCCAGCACTTCAATAAAGGATCTAACCAGAACAAAATCCAAGCACCACGAACCAGTCAACGCAGGGGTTTACACTATTCCCTGTGGAGGCTGCGACAAGATTTATATAGGTGAAACGGCAAGAAACCTCGACACCCGCCTCGGTGAACACATTTATGCATGTAGGAATGATAACTTGAACAATTCCAAAATTCCACCAGTCATCTCATGAAGTTCAGAGACGCCCAACTAGTGATCAAAGAAACTAATTTCCGCAGACGCAAGTGTCTTGAATCTTCACTAATAGCTGTTTCTAATACAATTAAACAAAATAAAGGCAGCTTCACTATCTCTGAAGACTTAGCAAGAATCCTCCTGAAAACAGTAAACCCTGCCATCACATAGTCTCTCCTGTTAATACTACACAAGCACATTACAGAGAATGAACATTGAAACAGGCCTTCTCTATCCAGCCTCCAACAGAATTATTTGTCAAACCATTTTTATGTTTCCCGAGTAATAGCTTTTATATCCTTTACTCATGTGCAAGTTAATTGTTCTAACATATTGCACCACCACCACCACCGCCGCCGCCGCAGCCGCCACAGCCGCAACAGCAGCAGCAGCAGCAGCAGCAGCAGCAGCAGCAGCAGCAGCAGCAGTATTACTATTATTATTATTATTATTATTATTATTATTATTATTATTGCACCTCACTCTGAGCCTATATATACCCTCTGTGTCCATGTACTGTTTGTAAGGGCTTGACAAAGCTCCTGGAGAGCAAAACATTGCCACAGTAAAATGTCACATTAGTTGCACTTGTGTCCTTTTACTTTACATATTGTCGTTAATTCTACCAACTTTATTACAACCCATTTCTAAGCCAGTGGCTTATTAAGCCAGCACAGACTCCACTTCTGCCTGCTGCAAGTTTATGGCTGGGATATGTCAGCCTGGTGCAACTCCTCTGTTGTCTAATGGATACAAGTATAACCATAATTTTTAAAGGGGTGGACCTGTAAGCCAGTGGAAGGCCTTAGTCACATGACCAAAAGCTCCAGTTACGGGCCATCATGTTACAAAGATCTGCATCAGGAAACACTTTTCCTGTTGCATGACAAACAATACCTCACCTAACCTCTGCTGTTGGTTATCATGTCAACCATGACTGTGTCTTTCACCTCCCTTGCTGTTGTCTCTGCTGTGTGTGAGGTGTCAAGATAATTTTTATTGCACAGAGACAAGGTGAAGATCCAGTGGAGTCACAGTGTCGTCCTCCTGGTGATGTGGCGATTTCATGATAGCTTGTTGAAGAGGCTTTTTGTTCATTGTTGTGCACTGTGGCATGCAAAGAGTATGTAACCTTTATTCGGCCCATGTACACACCCTCATTTACAGGCTATCTCCCCAACCAGCGAACCAGGTGACTGAGGGTTGACGATGGGGCCCCGTCGTTCAACCAGTATCCAGGTTCCAGCCATTGAGAAGATGGTTTTGGCAATCGCAGAGGTTATGTGGGTACCACTCTCCTGTCTGTCCTTGTCATTCCCATTCTAGAGCTGGTTGAAGCACGGTCTGCTCTCTAGTGGCTTCTATTCTGCCTTGCTTACCGTGGAGTGCACTAATACCTATCATTGTACATAGTGTATATAGTGTACATACTTCTGTTCTAAATTGGTGAAGGATAATATAAGTCAAAACTTTTCTGCTGTGTTTATTTTGCTCCCTTTACACCCAGGATAACAGGCCATTTGGACTCCTGGGTTGTAATATGGGTAGCCTGTCTGAGAGCTGAAGCTGGACTTAGAGAAAGGGTTGAGCCTAGGGTGAAGTTGGAAGCAGGAACATTGTGTAGCTTGCTGTCTGGCA